ACTACTTTCAAAATATTCGGATCTTGGTAGAAGACTAATTTTTATACTAGTAGGAAATATGAGATTTTCTAGGGTTTTCATACTTATACTAAATGTTTCATCAAACATTCACCAGTCTTTCATAACAACTTTTCAAAGTAATAACATTAAAATACTTATGAATTCACCAGCTTTATTGCTGATACTCGCTTTCAAAATAACTTGTATTCTCAGGTTACAAATAGACAGGTACCGATGCAAGTTTTAGAGAAGACGGAGCAGTCAAGACTCGTCTTTTATTTTGAGTATTCATTATGTTGTTTTATACTTTGAAAGAACACACTTGTAAGCAGAATTATTTTATTAATGCAATGGATGATGTTGTTGCTTGTTTACTACTTTACATTGTTGTGATACATACATGACGTTCTCCGCCGCAGAACGTTTCCGCCGTTCTCGGTTTTGGGGTGTGACATATACAAGATGAATCTGAACAATCAAAATCATTGGATGTTGATTATGATTTGATTTTTGGTGTTTCGGGTCATGCTGTTGATGCTGAAATTAATGCCAAAAATAATCACATCCCTGAACTTTCGAAGCTATCTGATGACTCAACATCAACTCCTCAAGAAATAGGCAAAAGTATGCCAGATGATCCGGTGGAGGGGGAGCACTTGGATTCAAATACTCTTGTCGAGGGGGAGCATTCTTTTGAGGGGAGAATGAGAGATTAAATGCAGATGTTGAGGGGGAGCATAATGTCGAGGGGGAGCGGTTACAAAATAATGAAAATTATCACGATGATGATGATGTTTGTTCAATTGTAGGTTCAAAGAATGATGATTTGTACGAAGATGCACCTTTGGACTTTGATCCAGCTTAACCACCAATGGAAAAATGGATTAGAGATCATTCGAAGGAACAAATAATTGGAAATCCACAAGAAGGAGTTTTGACAAGAGCTCAGATTCGTGCGAAGAATGAGGTATTAAATACTCATTAAGAACAGTGTATGTTCAATGTTTTCGTCTCTAAAATTGAACCGAAGACAATTAAGATTGCAATGGAACACTCTGATTGAGTTGTTGCTATGCAAGCTGAATTGTCTGAATTTGAACGAAACAAGGTTTAGAGATTAGTTCCTAAACCTGAAAATGTTTCAATTGTCGGGTTAAAATGGATTTTTAAAAACAAAACCGACAAAGATGGAAATATTATTCGAAACAAAGCCATACTTGTTGTCAAAGGATACTCTCAACAAGAAGGAATTGATTACGAAGAAACTTTTGCCCTTGTCGCACGACTCGAGGCGGTTCGTATCTTTTTGGCTTAAGTAGATCACAAAGACTTTGATGTTTATCAAATGGATGTAAGTGTGCATTTTTAAATGGAGAGCTTGAAGAAACTGTTTACGTGGAACAACCCCCAGGTTTTATTAACAAAGAACATTCTGATCATGTTTATATTTTAGATAAGGCATTTTATGGGTTAAAACAAGCACCACGAGCATGGTATGCAACTCGTACTTCATTTTTGAAACAATCTAAATTTAAACAAGGATCTGTTGATCCCACATTATTTCGTAAGAAAGTTGGGAATCATCTTATGCTTGTTCAAATTTATGTTGATGATATTATTTTTGGCTCAACTGACCCAGCTTTGTCTAAAGAATTCGATGACTTGATGAAAAGTAAGTTCGAAATGAGCATGATGGGTAAGATAAACAATTTTCTTGGTTTAAATATACGCCAAAGCAGAGAAGGAATCTTCATTAATCAAGAAAAATATACGAAGAATCTGCTGGAGAAAATTGGAATGACAAATAGCATAAAGTTTTGAGTTCCAATGGCAACTGACATCAAGCTGACCCCTTAGTTAGATAAACCAGCAGTTGACCTAACTCTTTTCAGGAGCATGATTGGATCTTTACTATTATTTAACAGCAAGTAGGCCTGATATCATGTTCACTGTGTGTAATTGTGCTAGGTATAACTCAAATCCTCGAGAACCACATCTCACTGCTGTGAAGAATATCTTTCGTTATCTCAAAGGAACAACTGCGTTAGGATTGTGGTATCCTTCGAACATTGGGTTCTTTATTCAAGCATATTCAGATGCAGACTTGGGAGGTTGTAATCTTGAAAGAAAAATCACGAGTGGCGGATGTGAATTACTCGATGGAAAATTCGTGAGCTGGCAGTCAAAGAAACAAACTTGCGTCTCAATTTCCACAGCTGAAGCTGAATGCGTGGCTACTGCTGCTTGTACATCACAAATAATTTGGATTCAGCGTCAATTACGAAATTATGCTATTAATATGAAAAAGATTCCATTATAGTGTGATTCACAAAGTGCAATAAGAATTTTTCATAATCATGTGCAACATTCAAAGACTAAACACACAGCTCTTCATTATCATTTCATCAAAGATCATGTGGAGGAAGGAAATATTGAAGTACATTTCGTGAAAACAACTGATCAGTTAGCTGATATTTTCACAAAAGCTTTGGATGAAAAATCATTTGTAGGAATTCTGGAAGGATTAGGAATGATCGATGGAAACTCTATTCCATGCGAAAAAGGAGAATTATGGTTGTTCAGGAATGATTCAGTGGCGCTCAATGAAAGTCAAAGCAAACATGTTCAGTGTTCAGAGGTTACTGTTCATAGTCAACTCTTCGAATGCTTCGAATTCGTATCTTTTTCACTTTGGAGGAGATGATCAAATTTCGTGTGTTTGCAACAAGTACCCTTCGTATATTTGAGTCATTTATTTTCTTTTCGAAAAATCAAAAACTCAAAAAGATTTTCATTTGTTTTGTTATTTTCTTTTCGAAAACTCAAAAACTCAAAAAGATTTTCATTTGTTTTGTTATTTTCTTTTCGAAAAATCAAAAACTCCAAAAGATTTTCATTTGTGTTGTTATTTTCTTTTCAAAAAATCAAAAAACTCAAAAAAAAAAAAGATTTTCTCTTTATTTTGTTCTTTCTTTTTGAAAAACTAAAACAACAAAAATATTTTGTTTCTCATTTCTTTTTAAGTACTTTGTTGTAGATATTCATGAACACACGAAGGATATAAGGCTTGCAGTTCTAGGGTCAGGTAAATCTTTCATATGAATCTTTGAATCTTAATCATTTTGAACTAGTTAAGATGTCCCTAGAAGCATGCTGCAACATGTTGTTGGAAGCCTCCAGTGACTCTATGTATGTAAATGAAATCCTTAATGAAATTTTCATACGAAGATTTCTTCCCAATCAGGCTTATATTCACATTAGTCTCCTGAGTTACCTGACTCTTCTCATATGAGTTAAGAAATTACAGTTTTGTCCAGTTATAACAAAGGTACACTTCGTGCCTTATACCAATCTTTTTCATCTAAAAATCCTTCACAATCACACACAAAGACATACGTCCAAGATGTCTTTGATCAAACCAATCGAGACTTAGACATGTCAAAAATCTATGGTTATGATCTAACATCATGAGACCGTGATGAAAGTGAAACCCAAAATCTTTAAACATTTAAGGATTTGACAGCGAACAATGTTCCAAATTTTTACGGAACTTTTGTTTCAGTACCTTTTTGAAAACTCCAAATCATATGCATTTCATATGAGTGGTCTTGATCAAACATTCGAAGCCCACGGTGTTTGTTACCCAACAATCCAGCACAATTTTTTTTCATGAATACGATTTTCGTGTGAGTTTACTTCAAAAATCCTTGTCACTTTAAATATTTTTCAAAACCAACTTGTCACTGACTACACTGGTGAAACAAATAATTTATGTTACAATTACTCACCTAATGATAAGGTTGATATGTAACGAAATTTTATAAGCTACCTACGAAGCCCATAAAAGATGCGTGTCGAAACTTATCTACAAGTTTTCGATTGTATTCCATCCGAAAAGTTCCGACGGTTACAATTCTCTTGGGGCAAACATTATAGGCTGTATTTCTATGACGTATGGCATGCTATCCGGGTTTCAAGGAGATTGGACAGCTACTTTTTCGTGAATGGCCATTTTAATGGAGTAGTGGTCTGATTTTCAAGGTGCCATGTCAGCAATAATTAAATGCACATCCCGCTTTTAATTCAAATACAAGGGTTACATATAAAAGGGGATTCACGAGTATTCTATCTGTTTACATGTTCAAAAGAAAATTCCCAAAACTCTCTCTCATTTTCAAAGCTTCAAAACCCTAACAATGGCGACTCCTGCTCCTGATGCTACTCATTCTTCTCCAACAACAGATGATGTATCTTCACTACCAATTATGAAGATTCAGGGAACCAACTACCAAGTAGAATCTGATGTCTAGCAATACCCTGAAGAACTCAAGATGCTAGTTGTTGCTTTGAAGAGTTCTGTTCTTTCCACAGCGATGTTTAATTCTTTTTCCATTCCGATTTCTTGGCTTTCTTAGGCAGGATCAACGGCGACGTACACAAAAGCATTTGAAGCAGTTGAGTTCAGCTTGGTTAATGATAAAAAGGTTAGAATGTCCAAGAAGCTTTTCTGTCGACTTTTGCAAATCCCTAATTCTCCACCATATGTCGATTTTACCTTTCCTCAAATCATTCATATGTTCAATGAGATGAGCCATCGACCTCAGTTAACAAAGATTAGTGACTTCAAGAAGTCGAGTCTTCCCATAGTGTGGAATTTTCTGTTTGGTATCTTCTTGAGATGTTTAACTGGACGCACAGTTGGTCTTGATAAAGGGCGTATGGAAGTATATGCTATGGTCGCAGGGTTATACTATGATTTACAAGTAGATTGTTCTACTCAACTTTGGAAAGAGTTTTTGAAGAGTGTTGAGAACACGAATGCTCGTCATGGTATTTCGTGTGCAAGATATTGGAGCTTAATCTTGCAGTACTTTTGCGAGAAAGAAGGGATATCGGTGCCAGCTGATGAAGAAAGAGCAGTTTTTCATGTATACAATTGTCCGAAGGAGGTGTTAGATGATGCTGAAGAATTTCCTTCTATTGCTTGTATAGCTTATGCAATGCTTAACAGGGTTGATCCTTCGAATCTAGTGTTTGTGGCTTACTTACAAACCATTGATACTTCTGTGGAAACTGGGGTTTTATTGCCAAGGGAGGAGAAACAGTCCAAACGATGGAAGAAGAGTGATGCTAGTTCTTATGAGAAACCTGTAAAGGAGTCTAAGCCTAAAAAGTCTGCAAATAAGAAGCCAATTATTGTTGAAGAGTTTGTTTTACCTGAAGTCTCTACTGCTGAAACTAAAAAAGTTGATCCAGTTGTTGACGAGAAAGAAGAAGAAGAGATTATTCCTTCGAAAACTGGAGTTCTTCGTAGAATCAAGATGAAGTCTAAACATCTACGAAAGTCTTCATCTCCTCATGTTGTACGAAAGCAACAGGTAACACATCAAGGAGTCTTAATCCGTGAAGTTACAGCACTTGTTTCTCCTTTGTCAAAGAAACGAAGGGTCGAGGATATGGCAAAGCAGATTTCGAAGAAGCAGAAAAAGAAGACTCGTAAGATAATCCTTTCACCAGAGTCAACTGAAGAAGATGAAACTATTCTTGCAACACCAGAAGCTAATCAAGAAATCTTAACTCATGATCAGACAAAAGATATACCACCTAAAGTTTCGAATGTCGAGTCATCTAATGAGGAGACACAAACTTTGGACATCACTGTACACGTATCTAATACGGATACAAATGTCAATAAGGGTGAGGAAAATCCGAAGACTACTACTCAAGGTGATTCTGAAACTTTTGTCTCACTACCTCCACAAATTATCCCAATCTCTTCAACCACTAATTCACCAACATTCCTACAAATTATCAATAAAACATTCACTTCCATATTCTCTTCACAATCCACTGATCCACCTAAAACTAATTCTCCTGGTCAAGAAACTGTTGAGATGGAAACTGACACTGACAATGAAGGTTTTGGAGGAACTTTTGAAAATTTATCATTTGATGATGAAGAAGAAGAATTCCCTGATCATATGCTTATGAAGATGAAGCAATACAAAATTTTGAATTCGAAGTTGAACTCCATTATTCAATCACAGGCTGACTTAGGCGGTGGTTCATCAGTGTCTAGTTTGGAAGTTGACATGATGCTGAAAATGTTCGAAGCTAGGGTTATTAGTAAAGTTTCTGGGATAATGAGGGATTCAGAAGCAAGAGTGTTGGAAAAGGTTGATCATAATGATCAAACTAATGAGCTTCGTATGAATTCTCAAAGAACAGATTTTATCGGAGAGGTGAAGGATTACAAAATACTGACAAGGGAGAGGCGTATTTTGTTTCTTCAGGAAGTAAAGAAAGTAAGGGAAGATGTCAACTTGCAGATTCGCGAACTTCGTGAAGATATGCAAAGGGAAATTACAAATTTTGAACAAGACTATGGTGCCTTAAACAAGAAGATTGATATTGTGACGCTGTCACAAAATTTGTCAAGTTGTACGAAAAGTTGAGTCCTCAACTCACTCAGCTTTCTACAATGGAAAACAAAAATTTTGGAGAATTGGTTTCATTGTTAAAGGAGTTAAAAGATTTGTCCGTCAAGCCTGTTTCTTCATCTTTGATCACTCCGGAATTCTTATCTCGGAAGTTTGTTCAGTTCGAAGCCATCTTACAGAAACAAATGGCTCCTCTATCTTGCATCTCAAACCTTCTTCCGCCAACAAATGCCCCACCTGCTTTCACAGGTGTGCAAGGGGGAGAAAAGAAAGAATATTCGAAGGTTGGTGGTGATGATGCGAAGGTAGTGGGAAAAGTATTTTCTTCGAATATTCCGAGAACAAAGCCAATTATAACGTCTGTTGGACCAGTCTCTTCGACTGTTGTTACAACGGTACCAATGTCAAGACCAATACAAAAAGGAATTGTAATTGGTAATGCAGGAGGAAATGCTTCGAAGACAAAAGAATCTGTTGATTTGTCAGCCTCAAAAGATAAGGGAAAAGCTATACTAGTTGAACAGACAAAGGATGAAAAGAAGGCTGAGACTGAAGCTGAAATAGAAAGAATGAGGTTAGTCCAAAGCATAATGACACTTCCTGCAAGTGATCCTCCTGGGTTGGAAAAAGGAGATCCTGCAAAACAGTATAACTAAGAAACGATTGAATCGAAGGTGTTATTTGATCAAGTGTACTCCTTTGAGAAGAAACCAAAACAAAGTTATGTGGTAACAAATACCGATGAAAGTCAGCTTGACTTTCCAATAAACGAAATGATGTTTGTTATGCCACAATTTAAAGCCGAATGAGATTTCAAGGATAGTGAAGAAGGAAAACGTATGAAAATCCGTTTTCATGCAATTTAGCTAAAGCTCCAGAGGATGTTTGATCTTCGGTGAAGATCAACAAAGTTATCAGCATGAAGAGGGATGTGACTTTTGAAAACATTATGCAGAATGTTAGATACACTGTGTTCAAGGCGAATGGAAAAGTTTGTGACTTTACAAATGTAGATTTTCCATTGATGAACTTGTATGATCATCTACAAGTTTCAATTCTTTTGAAAGACAAATCGTTTTCGTATCTTCAAGACACAGAGCCTGATATTTTCCAGCTTGGAATTAGACACATCAAGATTTTCATCGAAAACTATTATGAGTGTTTAGCTCAAACAAATGTTGAACTAGCTACTACTAAGGGAATTGATATAACTGCACCAATGGGTCCTACAAAGAAACAAGTCGATTTAAAGAAGTATGCAGATGGAGAAATTTGCTTGAAGCCTTTTGGGATTGTCTTCGATGGGAAGGACAAGGATGGGAGAGCAAAAAGATTTTTATTTCAAGCTTGCGAAGTGGAGAGATATGCAACTTCTCAGTATACGAATCTCATTGTTCGTATGAACCACTGCAAGAAAAATAATGAGGGAGATAAGAAGGAACTTGAGAAGATTATCTCATGGTACTCGGAGATACGAAGAGTGATGCTATACTCCATTCAAATTCTTACAAATTGAAGTCTTTGACTATGATTACAAAGGGGGAGATTGTAAGGGCTAGTTTTGTTGTAATTAGTCGAAGGGTAATAGGTCTTCGTATGTTAGCAGTCTTCATATTCTTTGTAATCTATTTTACTAAGGCACATGTATTCGAAGACTAATGCTTAGTCCTTAGTATATTTTTTGTACACTTTTCTCTCCTATAAATAGGAGTCTTTACTAGAGTTAGATAGTTTTTTACAGACTTGTCTAAGAATTCTCTGTAAACGCAAAGCGTAATATTGAGCTGAAAACAAGATCTTATTTACATCATTGTTCAATCTCACAACCTTACGTTGATTTTAAACTCTGATTCATTTTATACTCGGTTCCTTGATTCATCAGGAACTCACTAAGCTTCGTGTTTATAGTTTTCAGTTTTGTTTCAAGTACCTCTTCAGCGAAGGGGAAGGATCCAGCGCGGTAGCTGCACATCATACACACACACACACGTTGGATTTCCGCACCATGAGATTCTTGGGATTGTACTCTGACATTATTACTATTTTGTGATTTGGTTTTCAGACATGAGATATGGTTTTTATGAAATGATATGATCGAATGATGTTTTCTTACAAATGTTTTACAAAGCAATTAATTAAAAATAAAATTTTTGGACTCGAAATTTGGGATGTTACACTTTATATGTACGAAACCCTTGTAACATATACTATAACTAGGTTCAGATTAATCCTTCTAAATATTCTTCCATCAAAAACTCATTTTTTTACGCTTATCGTCTCTAAATTGACTAGCCCGAATCTGCGGGCGTTACAATTACTCCCCCTTGGGATGATTACGTCCCGAAATCATCAACAAAACAGGGCTTGTATAATGACTCCATAAGTTATCTCTTCATCCTAGGTAATAATCGTAACTCTTATGTCCTTCAAACGAGTATTTAACTCTTGGACTTCCTGACTGTTGGCGGTGCTCAAACTATCACTTTAATCTTCTGGCTTAACTCAAATGCTACATCGAACTTGGTTCTCTGAACCATGTAACATACTTGTCTTAGTCGGACTCGATTTGATATGAACTCTAGGGTCGGAACAACAATCATCATCTTAGTCATTATCAAAACGATGGTAACGACAGACATGAACAAAACATAATCGATTACTAGCTTCTTGGTAACCTTGTGACTTTCCCCGATCCAAGTGCGACTCCTGTGCTTCTGTGAATCAACCCAAAAAAAATTTGTTTTAATATTACTAAAAACCACAACATCAAATGTTATATAATAAAACCACGAATCGTGTGTCTCAAAAATGCCATAGTAAATGTATCAAATCAAAACTGAAGTCAATATCATATCAAAATATCTGAATAAAACTCCCACGGTAAAACTGCAACTGTGGTGTGTGCCATGCCATCATCCCGAGCTCTTCCCCTTGCTAGCGGAAGTACCTGTAACCAAAAATGAAATTGTTAGCACGAAGCTTAGTGAGCTCCCCCAAACTACCACATACCATACAATAATACATAAGCATATATTGGGCCTTGCCCATTGCATCGGGCCCCGCCCGGCATTGGACCGAAGTCCGGAATACTTGGGCCCCACCCACTGCATTGGGCCCCACCCAGCATCGGACCGAAGTCCGTAATAACTTGGGCCCCGACCACTACATCGGGCCCCGCCAGGCATCAGACCGATGTCCTGAATACTTGGGCCCCGCCTACTACATCGGACCGAAGTCCGGAACAAACTGAACATAACATAATCATATAACATAAAGCACATATACTGCATCGGACCCCGCCCGCGTCAGACCGCAGTCCGGAACATATAACACATAACATAAACATGCATGAATCATAAAGACATCAAGCATACATAACTACTTCTCGGGACCCTCCCGGCATCGGACCGTAGTCCAGAACTACTATCTAAACGGGCCGACATTGTGGTCATAGACCCGTTCCTATTAGAAGGAAATTGACCTAGTAATGCTTACTGAACTCCTGAGTAAAGAATCCTTGACTGCTGTTCCGGCTGCTCCCCGGCTATCATGATCAATTAAAACACTTACTCAAAATAGGGATTCTTCCATGGATAAAATGACTATTTTACCCCTGCTATGTTGTGGGTTATAATCATGACCCAAGCCCTAAATTCTTGCTAAGCCCATCAATGGCTCACTAAAAGCCCACTAATGGCCCAATTTTCTAAATTGGGCCTAACTCCTCATATGGGTGCTGCTTAGGCCCAAAAATGTCCTTTGGCCCAAAACTTGACTTCTGAAGTCCCAATCACTAGATAAGCTTCCCAAGCCCACTATTGGCCCATTAATGGCCCAATTTGCTATATTGGGCCCAACTCTCTTTATTGCGCCTTACCCCAAGACCAACACCTATACTAGGCCCATATTCACTGACCCTTGATGGCCCATTAAGGCCCAACGATCCTAAGTCCAAAGCACAACCCACACCGAGGCCCAAATGCTCGAAGCCCAATCTGTCAGCGTACATGGGGCGTACCTCTAGGTACGTTGAGCGTACTGGCTATTGGCTTGTACGCCATGTGTACCTCCTTGTACGCCCAGCATACAACCCTGTTAAACCAACTTCCTATTAAGTGCTTAATTCATCGATTCAGAAGCTACAATTCCATATCCACGTCTTACTCTATGTCCTAAACCATAAAGTTTCTTACTTGATGGGTTGGATGATTCACCAAAGGCTTAAACTCTAAAAACAATATTCTAACTTCATGGAAATGGCTTGATCTCATGCCTGGCTTCTTGCAAACCTCAAAGATTGAAACTTTATTATTAAGGGAGTGCTTTGAGCCTTAAGGATTGCAATCCCAAGCTCTAAAACGAATCTTCATGATCAAGGTCCAACCTTTGGACCTAAAAAGGTCCAAAACTCAAATAACTCTAGATCTAGCATGTGAAGAAGAAAGTTCAGTTCTTTATATCTTCTTTTGATGACAAAGAGTGAGCTTTGTCCAGATCCCTAAGCTCAAGCTTCTTCTCCAACCTTTTCTTTCCTTCTTCACAACTTCTTCTTCACTAAAAACACTCACAAAGAGCAATTTCACACAAATGAGAGAGTAAAGTCGTATTAGGGTTTTCTTGTGGGTGAGGAGGCTGATAAGAATCCAGAGGGAGGGTATAATGCGGTTTATATATGTCTTAAACCCTTAGACTATGGTTTTCTTATCTTCTCACGTACGCTGCGCGTACACTGTGGTACGCTGCGCGTACATGCGCTATCCCCGATTCCAAACGCGGCCCATTACGCCCAGCGTACGTCTTCTGGGCGGCCCAAGTCTTTGGGTCCAAATGCATAATCCCAAATCTAAAACCCCTTTATCTATACTTGGCCTAACTATAATTTAAGAAAATTAAATAATTAATACCTCGAGAGACGTATGTTACAATTCACCCCCCACTTGAATCAGACTTTGTCCTCGAAGTATGTTGTTGCTACTGAATCCGAAAACAACTCCGGGTAATGCTCCCTCATCTCCTCCTCGAACTCCCACGTCTACTCTGAACCCTTCCGGTGCTGCCACTGCACCTTCACTAGTTGAACCACCTTGTTCCTCAAGGCCTTCGTCTTTTGATCCAAGATCGCAACGGGTCTCTCGATGTAATTCAGGCTGCTATCAACCTAAATGTCATCCAATGGTACAACTGCTGACTCATCCACTAAACACTTTCGTAACTGAGAGACATGGAAAGTGTTTTGGATCTGGCCACTACTAGAAAAAAGGCCTTTTACGACGCTCATTGCGCGTCGGAAAAGGCTCAGACGACGCGCAAATGCGCGTCAAGGAAGGCCCTGTCATAAAGAGAGACGACGCACATTTACGATGCGCATTTACGACGCGCGTTTACGACACGCAATGCGTATCAAGGAAGGCCATGTCATAAAGGAAGACGACACACATTCGCGTGTCGTAACCTTACGACGCGCGTGTTAATGACACGCAATGCGTATCAAGGAAGTCACTGTCAAGAAAGGCCATGTCATAAATGAAGATGACACACATTTTTCCGTATCGTAATTTTATATGTTTAAAAAAAATATTATTTATAGATTTACTAATTTTCAAATTAAATTTGCATTTAATGTCTCATAATAAATAAAATATCATATACGAAAATACAATCCATTACATAAAATTTAATATATATCATACAAATAATCATTTCATGGAAAGATAAAACAAATCAATAAAAGTTGTAACGAAATTTACAAACGAATTAGATACAAGAAATATGAAAAACTTGAAATCCCTAAGATTAATAGTTCTAACAGAAGCTTCACGTGAGATACATACAGTTGGACCAGTAAGCAAGGATGTTCCCGAATCCACAATAACAACACAAGAACACATACACGATATCTTCTGCAAGAAGGTGCCGGTCCAAAACTACTGTTGAAGGTTGCCATGATAGATGTTAAGATTTAATCATAACAAGAAACCAATCAGTGTCTATAATAAGCTAGAAAACATGCAACCAATAAACAAAATAAGCAACTAATTAAGTCAAACTATGACTATGCATACAAATTGGTAGCAAACAAGTAAATAAATGAAGAAAGTTACCTTCCATTGAAATGGATTAACAAGTTCAACATATTTCCCATGGCCTAAAGAAGGTAAGTCAACACGAGAAGGAATATAGTCAACACGAACAACAACATGCCACTCTTTTGTAACAATGTAAGAATTAAGTGTAAAAGTTAATACAAAAGCTGTAAATCATGAAATGCTCATAAAAAATCTAAATCTCTTCAAAGATACCTCATATGTAGTAACTCCAACCCCAACTATCTCTAACTTTTCCCACTCTTTTTTAACAACTGGAAAACAGGATTCATATATTGCAGAAAATTGACCAAGATCTGAACCAATATCAGAGAAAATGAAGTAATCAAAATGTGCACATGTACACATGGAAGTTTAGTAAGGATAAAACTGGAATAGACAAACTTACCTTTCTCAAGATCTTATCACCAACTCCACTTGGTTGGCCAAGGTCTGCAATCTCCCATAGTGGAATATCAAGCAGTATCCTTATTACATTTTCATCCAGAAAAGGAAACCTAGCCTGAAGTGACCAAACCACACATGTCCATTCAAATTCAATCCAACTAAATGTGTAATGTAATGTGTTTCTTTCTGGACTTAACACATAAAGAACTGAACGACTTAACAAAGAAGCAAGTGGTACCTCTTTGCCATTATCAGCGATGCATCTATCATCTCTACCTAGGTTTCTCTTCCATATTCTCTGCATATCTAACTTCATTTCCTTATTTAGACCACCCCAAATAAACATATCAACAAATAATCATCAAAACTTACTTCAGTATTTTATCTTGCTTCTTTTACAGTATGAGATAATACTGATTAATAAGAAGTAACCTGCTTTCTCTGAACTTAGTTCTATGACGCCCATACCCACCACACTGCTCATCTGCACCAGAACCAACCAATAGGATCCTGGAATCAGACTTGTATTTAACCTTTAAATTATTATTTCCATTTATTTCTTCACTCATACACCCATCACCACCAGCTGCCAACCAAAAGGCAATCCCAATATTAAGGTCCTGTAACACCAAAAATAAGTTAAAAGACTTTCATGAAACCTTATAATAACATTAAAATTTAAAAAGAAAATGTGCAATTAACAGATCAATGTACCATGTATGTATTTGAAGGATAAATAAGTGACAAGACACTTTTTGTCTCCATGGTCAATTTCGACAATTCTGCATCTATTTCTACTAGATTCCATCTGCATTCAAAATTTGTTTGTATTATGAAAGAACTACAATAAAGTCAAAGTCAGAGGGTAATAAAAAAAAAGTCAAAAACGCCAATTACATTCTCAAAGGGGCAATTTTTCTCAACTCTTTCACACCAGCCATTGCAAAGATGCATATAATACTGGTCATTACCTTTTAGATTCCCCATTTAAGATAACACTTAATTAAATGAAACTCAGGATTTTGTGAGATTTACATTAAAAGGTTATAAAGAATAATAATAGGTAACATACCAGGTACCGTGTAGGCTCCAAGGGTAAAAAAATATTTGCAACTGCTATCCGTACACCATTAAGGGCTAGTGTATATGGCTATATAAATCAGGAGCTTCAATTTCCAGTGCTTCTGCTGCATGTACCATTAATTGATGAAGTTTTGAAAGCTGAAAAAAAAAATTAAATCATTGTCTTGCTGCTTATTTACATGTATTTTGGATGTATAATAATAGGACAATTACAAGTTATATGTAATGTAATTATTAGTGGACAAAAACTGTTGAATCCATATACCTGATGCATTGAGATGAAAACATAACATTTATAGTGTGAGTGTAACCAAATAAAGCTGCAGATGTAAAGCCAGTGAAGATCGTAGCAACTGTTGATGAATACTTTTTCAAAATTGTGTTTGCATGTTATAAATAATAGATATTAAAGTTAGTCTTCCACTATTTATAATCTTTTTATTGTGTAAAAAAACAAATGCTTATAATAATGTTACCAGCATATTTGAAGAAAAAAGTGGATACAATTCCTTGAGCTGCATTGTTCACAATTAAAAGAATGGTAGCTTTTGAATGTCCTTGTAAAATATCAAAGCTTTCAGGACCTGGAAAAAATAATCACATGGAAATAAGGGTTTTCTGTGAATGATTAACATAATTAAAAAAAAGTAAAAGGGTAAAATGGTCAGAGTAAAATCCAAGGGAGTAAGTACCTTTAATAATGACAGTTCCAAGCATGCCTAGGAAGTTGAAAACAACACCATATCCGTATAAAAACAAATTCTGAAATCCCAATAAGTTCTTCCACCAATCTTCTAAAAAAGTCTGCATATGTTCTCTGGGCAAACTCAAATGTCTATAAAAAAAAGCACAAGATTTGTAAAATTTAGTGAAAAGCTACTACTGATATTACAAGACTAAAAGGGTATTATACTAAAATTTCATCTACAAGTTTCAATTTCTGTTTGCTTGATTCACAGAGTACTTTGGGTTTGTTTTCCCTCCAAGCTTCCTTGCAGTGAGTTGTACAGCCGCCTGTCATTGCCGCTGATAGTAAATGCTCTTCCTTTTACTGCATCCATCACAAGGGTATATAAGTAATTCCATAACATCTTGAGTAAATTACAAAGTTTTTCCTTGTGTTGTACTTTTTGTTTTCAATATTATCCAAAAACAATTTTTTGTTGTTTTTTGACCATTGTTATCTTTTTCCAAAATCACACATTAAGCCATATCACGTGTTTTGCACACACAAGGGTATTCTCCATGATTTTATAGCATAAATTCTAGGTTAATTCAGAAATACAATAAAGCCAAACCTCTCCAAATTTAATTGCATCTAATGAGGATCCACTTCCAGATTTCCTTGGTTTACTGCCAACCATCATCACATATGTCAGTGAAAATGTTGTGGTAAAAGTAAAATCTAGAGTTTTGTCTAATGATAGAAAGGAAGGTAGCAATAGAACAACCACTTAAATTTTTTAATGTCCTCCCCAACATCACAACATTTTAGAACAAAATCTGTAATTTCGTGTAGCAATAGAACAAGAGTGACGATGAGTTCAGGAAATTGAACCCTTGGATTCGATTTGGAAAGACGACGACTTCGAAAATTGAACCTGTGTTTGGTTCAAAGCGACATTTGGAGTGGAGATTCTGATATGGAACACCAGCAGCCTGAGCTTGCAATCTAGTCTGCATAATCAGGCAATACATGAAGCCAATCAATTCTCCCAATCAAATCAGGGAAACCAATACAGTTGGCATCGAGATCCACGACCAGAGTATTATAGAGGTCGAGAATGAAATTGGAACTAACATGTGTAAGGAAAATAATCGAGGAAGAAGAGTACCTTTGCGACATCAAGAGGATTTACTATAACTACAGATAGAAAACCGGCTCCAGCGGCGGCGAACGCCCTTTCTGATAAACTCAAATTGAAGTCAGGCGACGAAGACGTTATCTGATTCAATCAAAATGAAGAAGAATTTTGATTGGGCATATCTGCTGAAAGTTTTTCTCCAGGATGGCGACTGATCCAAGAACTCTTTTTGTTGCTAAAGCGCGGTTCCAGTTATGATGCTTCCGAGAAACACGTTGAGATGTAAAAAAAGATGAAAGAGATACTTCCTCCAGATGGAGCCTAAATAAACCTTGGATCAAAGAGATTAGAAGCGATCGATCGTTGTCTCTCGCAAGCGAGACAAGCGACGCCGCCGCGTCAGACCTATCATCTAGGCTTCCGGTGTACAAAAATCGCGATTTGCTCCCAAATTAAACACAAAATACGTTCATTAGCAGCGATCGGAAAGAGATGAGCCGATGTCAGAGGTGAGTTGAGGTAGATTCGGTAGTGGTGGAGGCGGATTAGGGTTTACAGAGAAAAGGAGGAGGGAAGGAAGGAGTGTTGGTAATTAGGGCAAGAGGGAAAGGAAGAAAAAGGGAGGCGGGCTTTTTAATTTTTTAATATTTCATTCCCCCCAGCTATTAAATGATGGAACGCGCGTTTCCATTAAAATTCATAAAGCGACATCTTCAGACGACACACATTTTATTATAGGCGCCCTCCGTGTTTTTTTTAGACACTAATTTAATGGCTCGCAAAAATGCGCGTCCTAAATTCTTAAAATTATAGAGAGATGACATTATTTTTAGGTCACATACTTTTGTGTATCGTAAATCGAAGCGTATCATAAATTGCACGTCGTAAAAGGCTGTTTTTCTAGTAGTGGGCTAAGCTCTGTCGGAAGATCCAACCGATAAGCAACCCGACCCACCCAGGCCAAATCCCTTCAGGAGGACCATATCGCCCACCTGAAACTCCAAGTTCGAGCGTTGCTTATCGGCGTAACTCTTTTGCCGACTCTGCGCAGTCTAAAGCCTGCTACAAACCTGCTGTATAACCTCTGTGGTCTTGAGTACCACCTCAGAACTCCCGATGACTCTCTGACCGACCTCACCCCAGCAAATCTGGCGCCTACACTTCCTCCCCTAAAGCATCTCAAAGGGAGGGCGGTCAATGCTGGCGTGGTAACTGTTGTTATACGAAAATTCCACTAATGGAAGATACGTATCCCAACTGCCACTGAAATCTAACACGCGTGCCCGAAGCATGTCCTTCAGAGTCTGAATTGTTCTCTCGCTCTGCCCCGTCCGTCTGTGGGTGTAAAGCGGTGCTGAAGTGGAGACGAGTACCCATCTCGTCATGAAACCGCTTCCAGAACCTGGAAGTGAACCGACCGTCTTGATCTGATACTACCGAAACAGGCACTCCATGTCGTCCACCACCTCGCGCACATAGATATCGGCTAGCTTCTCAGCCGAGATGCTCTCCTATATCGGTATAAAATGTGCACTCTTGGTCAACCAATCCATGATGACCCAAATCGAATCAACTCCACGTGCAGTCCAGGGAAGCTTAGTGATGAAATCCATGGTGATGTCCTCCCATTTCCACACGGGAATGTCTAACGGCTGGATCTTGTCGTGGGGTCTCTGTTGCTCCGCCTTGACCTTCCTGCAGGTCAGGAATCTCTCCACATACCAAGCTACGTCCCGCTTTTTGTAGGGCCACCAATAATCGGGTCGAAGATCTCTGTACATCTTCGTGGCCCCATGGGTGGATGGAGAACCGAGACTTATGGGCCTCTTCCATCAACACCTGCCATACTCTACCCTGGTATGGTACCCAAACTCTCCCATGAAGGGTCAACAATCCTCGACTTTCATAGTCGAAGGAAGCTACTCAGTCCACAATCCTCTCACACTTCTGCCTCTCCTCCTTCAGGCCCTCAACCTGTGCTTCGCTGATCTGCTCGAGAAAAGGAGTAATCACAGTCATCCTTAGGCAGATATCTCTGATCAGGTCCACTATCGCCTTGCAGATCAGAGCGTCGGCCACTACGTTGTCCTTTCCCGGATGGTAAAGGATCTCGCAGTCATAATCCTTTACCACTTCTAACCATCAGCGCTGCCTCATGTTCAGATTCGGCTGATCCATGAGGTACCTCAGACTCTTGTGATCCATGTAAATGGTATAACGGACCCCATAGAGGTAATTTTTCCAAATGTTGAGGGCAAACACCACTGCCCCCAACTTTAAGTCGTGTGTCGGATAGTTACCCTCGTGAGGCTTCAACTGTCTAGAGGCGTAAGCTATCACATGGCCTCGTTGCATCAAAACCGCTCCCATACCTATGATCGAAGTGTCACAATAGACTACAAAGTCATCTACTCCCACTGCCAAAGTAAGAATCGGTGCCTCGCACAATCGCTGTCTGAGGGTCTCAAATGCTGCCTGCTACTCAGACCCCCAGCGAAACACCACCGACTTCTTGGTCAGTCGAGTCAGCGGAACTACTATCTTGGAGAAATCCTGGATGAATCTCCCGTAGTACCCTGCCAGCCCTAGGAAGCTCTGAATCTCAGTTGGAGACCTCGGGACCTCCTACTGCATCACGACCTCTATCTTGGTTGGATCTACTAATATACCCTTCTGGTTGATGAGGTGTCCAAGGTACTGCACCTCGCACAACCAACACTCACACTTGGAGAACTTCGCAAAAAGTCTCTCCCTCCTCAGTGTCTCTAGCACCTCTCTCAGGTTCTCATCGTGCTGCTCCTGAGTCTTGGAGTAAACCAAGATGTCATCGATGAATATTATCATAGATCGATCCAGCATCGGTCTGCATACGCGGTTCATGAGATCCATGAATGCGGCTGGAGCATTGGTGAGCCCGAACGGCATCACCACAAACTCATAATGACCATAACGGGTGCTAAAATCGGTCTTCTGTACATCCTCATCCATGACCTGCATCTGATGATATCCTGACCGTAGGTCAATCTTGGAGAACCAAGATGCTCCCTAAAGCTCGTCAAACAAGTCATCTATCCTCGGGAGTGGGTAATGGTTCTTCACCGTTACCTTGTTCAGCTCCCGGTAGTCTATACACATGCAATGTGTCCCGTCCTTCTTCTTTACAAACAGGGATTGCGGCTCCCCATGGTGAACTACTCGGCCTGATGTAACCCTTGTCTAGCAGCTCTTGCAGTTGCGTAGACAACTCCTGCATCTCTAGAGGAGCCAACTGATATGGTGCCTTGGCTATCGGAGCCGCACTAGGAACCAGGTCAATCTGAAACTCGACCTGTCTCTCCGAAGGTATCCCAGGTAAGTCCTCTGGGAATACGTCTGGATACTCTTGCACTACTGGTACATTGTCAACTGTCGCTTTACCCTTCTCTCAGGCATCTATAACATAGGCGACATACCTTGCGCAACCCTGCTGAATGTAGCATCTCGCTCTCACTGCTGAACAAATAACTGGTCCGCGTTGTGGTCTATCATCGTGAATCACTAACTCTCCCCCACTGGGATTGCAAACTCTCACTAACTGTAGCTCATAATTAATCACTACCCAATTAGGGCTCAGCCAATCCATACCCACTATAACCTTATTCCCTCGCAGGGGAACAGGAACCAAGTCCACTGAAAACTGCTCATCAAATAACTGTAGCGAACACCCCCTATGTACCCTCGCGACCCTGACGGTCCTGTCATCAGCTATCTCTACCTCAAGCGGACAACCGAAGCTCTACTAAACCTCTTGCTAAGCGCAAGTGAGACAAATGATCGGGTAGCCCCCGAATCAAATAATATTGTAACTGAAATTTCGTTCACAAAGAACGACCCTATACGAAAACACATAACCATGAGAAAGAATCAATATAAATAAAGAGATAAGAGGATAATACATACTCGTCACCACATCTAGAGTCGCTCGCGCCTCCTCTGTTGTCATCTGGAAAGCTCTATTCTTCGCCATTGGCACCTCAACCTGGCCCTGACGGCCGTCTGTAATCCTCAATGTAGAAGGGGCAGGTGCTGCCACCTTCCCTGCTGTTGCTAAGCTCGAGCACTGGGAATTTTTATGTCCTATCAGATTGCAATGAAAGCAAATCTGATCAGATGCTATGGTGGTGGTGGTAGTAGCTATAAAATCCCTACTCATATGTCGAATCTGGCCGCATTTAAAGCAAGCGGAACTCCCTGCCTTGCACACCCCCATCGTGCGCTCTCCCATACCTGCCACACCGACTGTGGCTTTGTTGTCCACTAGATCTGTGATCTGATACCTTGGGCCTTTTACTCGAACCCCCTATGCCAGATACCACCTCCGGCTTTCTCTTCCTCTCCATCTCCAAGTCTATCTCCCTCTCACGAGCCCTCGCAATCATGTCATCAAGCGTTTTACAGTTGGACCGGCTCACAAACTGGCGGATATCACTCCGCAACATCTCATGATAATAGGCCTTCTTCATTTCCTCATCAGCCGGGTACTGAGGAACGAGAAGAGCCCTCTCCCTGAACTTAGCGGAAATTTCTGCCACAGTCTCAGTAGTCTGGGTAAGATCCTGAAACTCCCTCGCTAACTGTTGCACCTCAATAACTGGTGCAAACTCGGCTCTGAACCTGGTAGTGAAATCAGCCCAGGTCATAGCATCCAAAGTTGCGTCATCCCCAATGACATGTCCGACCTCCTCCCACCAGTCTCATGCTCTGCCCTTTAGAAGTCAGGATGCAACTCGAACCTTGTCCCGCTCGGGACATCGGCTGGTACGGAAGGCGTTGGCCATGTCAGCCAACCACCTGGTGCTCGCAATGTGGTCTAGGGCCCCCTGGTAGTCTGGAGCTCCACAAGCCCGGAACTCCATGAAAGTGAGCATGCGCAACCCCATCATGGCCGCCACCTCAGCACGGTATGTGCTCAATCTCTCATCCATCAGCTCCATAATACCCTCCTTGATCATACCGAAGTCACAGGAGTCTGCTAAAGTATGATGTGAGTAACCTCTGAGGAGAGGAACTCCATGGTCTGCTTATCTAGATGCTCGGCCCCCGAGCCTGATCCCGATCCCTGTCCGGCTCCTGAACTGTCGACTGCTGGTCTAGGGCGCAAAACCAGCATTCTGAAACACATAATGACAAACGTTAGAACTACTGATATATCTCGAGGAATCACTACTACTACAAGTTCCCTGGTCTCGCCTCAGCCTTCCTCGGTTCAAGTACGGATGCTCTACTTTCAGTAGTACGGGCCCATACTACCATCCATATCTATCCATACTTTCCTCAAAAACTGCCTTGACTCCACTAAGTCCCTTCTACTATTACTGATCTCTGCTACTCTTCTCCTAGGCTTTCCCTAGGAATATCTCTGACTCTTCCCAAACCAGTCCTCAGCTGCTGAAGGCCTCATTGAAATGCCAATTAGCAACCACATAGATACCATCACATGCAATGAGGCTCAGATAATCCTTCGAGTAGGGGACTCATCCCTACAACGGTTAGGAATCAGACAAGAGCTACTCAATAGGGTCAAATCCAACACTCTGAGATTATTCAATCCTGGTTGCATGTGACTTAACGTATCCACCTAATAGCTAACTCTTATCACTTCGAGTCCTACAAAGCACAAAGCAAGCAACATTCAGATAAAAGGAAACTAATTAAAGCATATTCTATCCTTATAACTAGAAATTGTACTAACATACGATGCTAAGCTTATACTATCAGGCATAACCTACACAGGCTATCCTAATACTATCTACTCAATACTAGCATGCAATTCTCATAAATTTGAAACACAGATAGCAGGCACATAAGGCATCATTCCTAGATCCTTAGTCCTATTCTAGCATGTTGTTCTACTAAAACTGATAATCATAACATAAACTTGTATGGGTAATTTGGGAGTACTTACTTGAGCTCGGCTGATCGCATGCACCACACCCTTATCTCTTTTTCAAAACTCTTTTTCTTTTTAAGTTCTTTCTCAAAAAATCTTTTGAAAACATTTTTCTTTTGAAAACTTATACCATTTCCTTACTTTGAGTTCAAACACACTCGAAAGTGCACCCGAATCCCTCAAACCAAGCCTCTGATACCAACTTGAAACAATCCAAAAATACAACCCAAAAAATTTTGTTTTAATATTACTAAAAACCACAGCATCAAATGCAATATAATAAAACCATGAATCAGGTGTCTCAAAATGCCATAGTAAATGTATCAAATCAAAACTTAAGTCAATATCATATCAAAATATCTGAATAAAACTCCCAGGGTAAAACTAGAACTATGGTGTGTGTCATGCCATCATCCCGAGCTCTTTCCTTTGCTAGTAGAAGTACCTGAAACAAAAAATGAAACTGTAAGCACGAATCTTAGTGAGCTCCCCCAAACTACCACATACCATACAATAATACATAAGTATATACTGGGCCTTACCCACTCCATTGGGCCCCGCCCAGCATCGGAACGAATTCTGGAATACTTGGGCCCCGTCGACTACATCGGGACCCGCCCGACATGGGGCTGAAGTCCAGAATAACTTGGGCCCAGCCCACTGCATCGGACCCCGCCCGGCATCGGACCGAAGTCCTGAATACTTGGGCCTCGCCTACTGCATCGGACCGAAGTCCGGAACAAACTGAACATAGCATAATCATATAACATAAAGCACATATACTGCATCGGTCCCCGCCCGGCACCAAACCGGAGTCCGGAACATATAACACATAACATAAACATGCATGAATCATAAAGACATCAAACCTACATAACTACTTCTCGGTACCCTCCCGGTATCGGACCGTAGTCCGGAACTACTATCTAAACGGGTCGGCATTGTGGCCGTAGACCCGTTCCTACTAGAGGGAAACTCACCTCGCAATGCTTGCTGCTGAACTCCTGAGTACAGAATCCCTGACTGCTTTTCCGGCTGCTCCCCAATTATCATGATCAATTAAAACACTTAATCAAAATAGGGATTCTTCCATGGGTAAAATGACTATTTTACCCCTGTTGTGTTGTGGGTCATAATCATGGCCCAAACCCTAAATTCTTCCTAAGCCCATCAATGACTCACTAAAAGCCCACTAATGGCTCAATTTTCTAAATTGGGCCTAACTCCTCATATGGGCGCTGCTTAGGCCCAAAAATGTCCTTTGGCCCAAAACTTGACTTCTGAAGGCCCAATCACTAGATAGGCTTCAAAAGCCCACTATTGGCCCTTTAATGGCCCAATTTGCTATATTGAGCCCAACTCTCTTTATGGGCCTTACCCCAAGACCAACACCTATACTAGGCCCATATTCATTGACCCTTGATGGCCCATTAAGGCCCAACGATCCTAAGTCCAAAGCACAACCCACACCGAGGCCCAAATGCTCGAAGCCCAATCTGTCATCGTACACGGGGCGTACCTCTAGGTACGATGAGCGTACTGGCTGCTGGCTAGTACGTCGTGCGTACCTCCTTTTATGCCCAACATACAACCCTATTAAGCCAACTTCCTATTAAATGCTTAATTCATCGATTCGGAAGCCATAATTCCAGATCCACATCTTATTCTATGTCCTAAGCCATAAAGTTGCTTACTTGATGACTTGGATGATTCACCAAAGGCTTAAACACTAAAAAAATATCCTAACTTCATGGAAATGGCTAGATCTCATGCATGGCTTCTTGCGAACCTCAAATATTGAAACTTTATTACTAAGGGAGTGCTTTGAGCCTCAAGGATGGCAATCCCAAGCTCTAAAATGAAGCTTCATGATCAAGGTCCAACCTTTGGACCTAAAAAGGTCCCAAACTCAAATAACTCTGGATCTAACATGTGAAGAAGAAATGTAACATCCTGATTTCCAATAAATTATTTAAATACAAGTGAATATATTTGAATAATTATATAATTAGGAGCACGGAACCATTTGGGTTTTAAATAGTTTGGAAATGGTACATATAAGTTTGTTTTCTTCAAGTGACCATTTAATTAATTGAAGGTAGATAATATAATATTATTTGATATAAAGGTCCAAGGGGGTATTATGCTATTTTCAAAACTTGGTTTGTTAATGAAACCCAAGGATGGGTTAAATCTATCAAATATCTAAACTGAAGGGGCTATTTCTGCCGATTTTGGAAAGCTATCGGTTCCTTGTTCCCTGCATCGCGACAGCGGGTGGAGGGTGAGACCTTCATCCTATTTTGTTTGTATCTGCAGCGTATCTCGTATTTAATCGCTCAAACCCTAAATCATTGAGTGAGTGTGTGTTTGTGCGGCTGGAGAGTGAGGGGAAGAGTGAGAGATCGAGAAAAATAGAGAGAAAGAGGAGGCGATTGCCATCATCGGAGCAACTATTGGGCACCGGGTATGCCTACTGAGGACGGCATAGGAAGGTGAGTAAGGAATGAGTGGTTGTTCCTTCTTTAGGCACTGAGTGTGTGAGTTGCGAAGGAATTGGAAGGAGATGATGAGAGAAGCCGAGAGATGTATTAGTTTAAAAGAGGGATAATCGGGATTTTTGTGAGATGTCTCCATTGAAATCGAGACTTTGGTTATCCTTATCCAGTCGTGCAGAAGATAGGTTAATATCAGGAGCTCCGGTGGAGAGACAAGAAGAAGATAGTCGTTGTTGCCAAGGGAAGGAAGCACCGCCGGAGTTGGCGGCGTTGCCAGAGACCTGTGGTTCGCCAGAAAATCCCCTGATGCACAACTATTGTACGTTGGGGGTGAATTAAGGTACCTCTTTGACCTTATTGACCATCTATTTTAAGTGGGCTGCGTGATTGGGTTAAGTAATCAATTCTAGTGGGCTTTGTTTTAAGTTAAATGAAAGTAGTCCATGGTGGTTTGTGTTGGGCCATTTTTTTAGCTGTTGGAATTCTTTTCTAGAGAAATAGATATATTTTGACTAAATAAATTTATTTAGTCACCTAGCTTATTGATTTGGCTTGCAATCATATTTTATAATAATAGGCGAATATAAGTGTACTAAGACGTGTTTTTTTTTTTGAGCTAAGCAAAGGCTAATTGCGTGGTTTTAGGAGTTTCGAGGGCTGGAAATCAATGTTAGTCATTTTGGTGGTCCATATGTTATGATTGTTGCTTCAGGTGAGTCTTCTCACTATACTTTACCTAGAGTGGTAATTATAAGTGACCAGAGGGTCTTATGTGCTTGCTTGAGATATGCATTTTTTGTGTGATATGTGATGTATGCTATTTATGTGATGTGATGCGCTGCATTATTTCTATGTGATTTATGATGTGTGTATTCCAGAGTGTACAGAGTTGGGACCGCAGGGTCCACAGAGTTAGGACTAGAGGGTCCACAGAGTTATAGCCTCGAGTGGCTAATATGTGTTGTTTGTGGTATTTTGGGGAACTCACTAAGCTTTGTACTCACCGTGTTATGTATTATATGTTTCAGGTTTTTCTCAGGATCATGAGACGGCACCGTCTCGATTGTACACACCAGAGGAAGAGTTATGTTTTGAGGATCCTGGACTATTAATTGATTGAATAGAGAGTCATGTATTGTAATTTAAACAAAAATGAGATTTTTACGAAAAGTGTGTTTAAGAAATAAGCGATTTTTAAATGAAATTTTTATTTTGAAAATTTACGGCGTTACAAGTTGGTATTAGAGCCTTGGTTTGAGGGATTCGGATGCACCTTTGGGTAAATCTGGACTCAAACTGAGGATTGGAAAAAAAATCAAAGAAATGGTTTTTCTAAAACGGACAAGAGTTTCTAAGAGAAAACGAGAAGGAACAGTGTGTACAATCAGCCAGAGCCCGAACGGTGACTTCCCAAAATACGCTACTTTTGTGATATTCTGCATGTTAGAGGATAGGCTAGGTATTTCATATTTTACGACTAGGGTGGCCTGATTTGTGATGCCTTAGCCTAGGAGTTGTTGTTATCTGTGTTGTGCTTTCGAGTACATGTTGAGTAAGAGTATCCAGCAGGAATATTTCTGAGATAGAGCTTCGAGTAGAGGAGTAGTCTAGGAGAGATACCTAGATGAGCATTGGAGGAACCTAATGAGAGAGTAGTTAGATGCCCACGTGGGGTAGAGTTGCTTGAGTCCGATGACACTTGTTTAGTGAGAGTAGAGAAATTAGAGTTGTAACATAGAGTGGTTTAACGTGCTGGTGGAGATTATTCGATGCCCGAATGTTGCTTGCTTCATGCTTTGCGGCACTCTCGATGATGGGGTCAGCTACTAAGTGAATATGACGATATTCAGGAGGTAGATGGCTGGCATCATTAGGAGTTCTTCAGCAGCTGATAGCGGAGAAGTGTGAGAACCTAGGAAGAGCCTAGGGGTGACCATGGTCAGATGAGTGCGGTGACAGAGTAGGGCATTTCACTGGGGAGCGAACACACGTGACAGGATTGGTGATCGAGAAGGCTGAGCAGCTACCTACAAACTCTGGGATGGTCTGTGTAGAAAGTATGGGTAGATGTGGCGAGTAGTATGGGCCCGTACTACCAAAAGCAGAGGACCCATACTCGATACAGGGGGTATTCCATAGGTTCTAAGTAGCAGGTTGAGAGGCGATGACATGGTTCGAGTACCATGCTTTGTAGCAGTTTGATAGGTGATGACATGGTCCGAGTACCATGCTTTGTAGCAGATTGATAGGTGATGTCATGGTTCAAGTACCATGATTGGTGGCAGGTTGAGAGGTGATGTCATGGTTCGGGTACCATGATTCGTAGCAGATAATGCTTGTGCCTTTTTTCCAGTTATTTCGTCGTGATTGATTAGGCTGAGATCGGATGCGATAAAGTATGGTGCCAGAGGGACATGTTAAACGAGTTTCAACGAAGCATCCCTTGAGAGGGAAGTCAAGATAATTCCAAGGGATTTTTGAGGAAATGATAGATAGAGTCGCAAGACTCAAGGATGAGTAGAGATGGTGTTTTATGGAGGATTGCGGCTTGAGATGAGCCATCAGCCGATGGTGGAGATGTCGCCTTCCGTGACCTAAGTGACGCTACTTCTGTTTCCTGTGGGAAACATAAGAGGTGTTGAGATTTTGGTTTCTGAGCTTGGGGGTGAACCCTGTGGGATAGCACTGATGGTGATCTTCAACTAGAGTATCTGGTAGTAGTCTTGCCGCGAGGTAATGATATAGCATGAGTGTAACATCGTAAATTTTCAAAATAATTTTTCGTTTTCAAAAACACATAATGTATCACATCACAATTTCAAATCCATAATCAATAGTGTTTTCAAAACAAATCCCAAGATCTCTACACATAATAAGCTCCATCGGTGTGTGTACGTGTCACGCCGTCGCCTTCCCACGGTCCTCGCTAGTACCTGAGACATCAACACAACAACTGTAAGCATAAATGCTTAGTGAGTTTCCCAAAATACCACATACCACAAATACGCCACTCAAGGCTAAACTTGACCCTCCGGTCAAGATGTCTCAGCGGGACCCTCCAGTCCCGTAGCTCGTCGGACCCTCCGGTCAAATCATAGCTCATTGGGCCCTCTGGCCCGGTCTGAATCATTGGACCCTCCGGTCTGGTCTATATTGTTGGACCCTCCAGTCCGGTCTACACAATCATACAACATATATATAACACATAGCACGTAATCTCTTAGATAGCACGTAATCTAATACATAGCACATAAGACCCTCTGGTCAACTCATAATACCACTCAAGGTAACGTATAGTGAGAAGACTCACCTAGCACGAAGAATCAACCTCCAATCATGCTGCTTGCCAAACACCGACCTCTAACTTTGTGTCAAATCCCACAATTAACCCAATCAGGAACTAAGTCCAATTTCTCAATTACCAGGTCTAAAGATAGACCATCTACCAGTCCATTACGGTCCTAACCCATTGGGCCCACTAAGGCCCAATAATAAATGGGCTTCCCCAAGGCCCATTCTCACCCTACAAGACAAGACCAACATGAGGCCCAAGACATCAATTTAATTCTCTGTTCACAGGCTCCACTAAGCAAGCCCAAGGATTCCGACCCAACACTTAAAGCCCAAAAGATCACCTAGCCCAAAAGCCCACAGAGGGTTTACGCGGGGTGTACCTCTCTTGGTACGCTCAGCGTACTCAAGCATGCACAAATCTGATCGGGGACCTCAGCCCAGTACGCGGGGCGTACTAGGATTATGCTGGGCGTACTCTCAGTTTTGCTTAAATCAATTTCTGGGTCTTAACCCATTAAGACCTTAACTTATCTCTTGGATCTGGACTTCCTAACATCTCTTACTCCATAAAGTTATCGACTTTAAGCCTTTGCATGGCTGATAAGGTCACAACACATAAAAACTCTTACTTTCTTAACCCAAAATGCTCATAACTCATGCATGGGTAGATTCACATGATCAAGATCTCATTTTTATGGTTCTTCATCACTAGATACATAAAAGGACAGGTTATTAAGCTTTGGAGTGGATCAACTCATAAAGTCTCAAGCTTGGGACCAAAAACCCTAAAATAGACCCTAAAATGCACAAAACAAAAAGAGAGGGAAAGCTTGGAGCTTTATACCTTCAAATGGTGCTCTAGCCCCAAGGAAGCTCAGATCCACAACTTGCTCTTCGACTTCACTCCCTTCCATGCTCCTTCTTAACTCTCAAAAGTCCACAAGAACACAAACAAGCTTATCATGGCCACCACAAGCTTCAAGAACGGATATTAGGGTTTGAGAGGGTTTAATAACTGAGGAATGTAACAGCCCGGAATTTCAGGTATTGTTATAATTATGTTTTTGGGGTGTTTTAAGAGGGGACTCGGCGAGTTGGAGCCAGACTCGCCGAGTAGGACCACAGACTTGGTCGCGGGTTCGCGACTGGACTCGACGAGTCCAGATATGGACTCGGCGAGTCTGCGCTGTTCAGCGGAAACCCTAGCCGTTTGGTTTTGGGATGTATAAAATGGACTTATAGGCCGTCATTGTCCGTTTTTGCCTACTGAGAAGAACCCTAAACCGATTGTGAGCATCTGGAGTAAGGATTGAAGACCATTGTTGAGTTTGGAAGAATTGTTGTGCAAGGAAGAGAAGGGTTTTGCTAAAAGAACAGCAGGAGAATCACGTTCTGAGGTTTGAGGACGCAGAGAACACGTTATTCAGGTAATAAATCGAATTACACTCTTCCATGTTGATGTGTATATGGATTTAGGGTTTATGGAACCCTTTTGTGACTAGATTGATTGTTACCCTTGTTCCCCAAACGATTATAACCCTGTATTAGGACCTTTAGAGGTCCAGAATGTCCCACGCCTATGCATTTCGGGAATTAAGAGAGGTTTTGGATTGGAATCCTTATGCCTTAAGTCAAAATGTAAATTACAACTCTTGGGGTGTAGCATGAGCACCTAAATGAAGGCCTTATGTGATGGACCAGCTTAGGAGGACCAGACCTATGATTGGTCGGGACAATACTGATCTCAGGAAGCAGTTTGATCGACTACATGGCATGGACTCACCGAGTCCAATGAACAGACTCGGCGAGTAGCTTGGAGAATAACTGGGACTCATCGAGCTGTTCTTCAGACTCGGCGAGTGGAGTCAGGGTGGCCCCACGATTCTTCCACGAGGAACTCGTCGAGTCAAGAGAGATACTCGACGAGTAGAAAGGGAACATCAGGAAGTTGTGAGGACGTCTAGACTCGCCGAGTCGCCATAGCACTCGCCGAGTCCGGTCAAGTTGACCGTTGACCGTTGACCGTTGACCAGAGTTGACCTACATGTGATTTCTTAGGGTCAGTTGTCTTGAAAGATAAAAGTTTTAATAAGGGATATATGATATTATAGGGAGTCTGTAGCTCGGCGGATCGAGTACGAGTGATTTCAGGGGTTGCTAGCTTTCGATATTTACGAGGTGAGTCTTCTCATTATACTGTACCCGGAAGGGTTTGACTGTGTGACCGGAAGGTCGGATATGATATGTGTTATACGTGCTATAAATGATAAGATAATTGCTATGCGTGCTATGTATGTTTATATGGGCCGGAAGGCAATATGTTATGTGACCGGAAGTCGAATATGATATATGATATATGTGCTATATGTGGTAAGTTAAATGTATTATGTGCTGTGTATGTGTATGGGCCGGAAGGCAATATGTTATGGGCCGGAAGGCAATATGTTACGGGCCGGAAGGCGAATATGTTATGGGCCGGAAGGCGATTATGTTATGGGCCGGAAGGCGTTGTGCTGTGGACCGGAAGGTCAGGGCCTGGAAAGGCGTATATGTGTAAGTGGTATACTGGAGAACTCACTAAGCATTTATGATTACAGTTGTTATGTATGTGTTTCAGGTACTAGCGAGGACCGTGGGAAGGCGCCGGCGTGATGCGTACACACTGTTCGATATTTGGAGATCTTGGGAAAGTTTATGATTGTATTTTGACATAAAACTTGGAATAATTATATTTAGTTGAATAAAATTACTTTATTTGAAATGAAAAATTTGTTTAAAATTTGCGTTGTTACAATTTGGTATCAGAGGGTGGTTTGAGGGATTCGG